GCCAAGTGGTTCACAACACTTGAGACGCCAGGAAAATCAATAAAAGCAGCTGTAAGTTTTCTAACAGTAGTTTTAATTTGTTTTATAAGTTTTTTATAAGGCTTTTATAAGTTTTAGAATTAACTTTTCAGTTTACTTTTTTTGAGAACATTATAAAAACCGTTTAAAAGACTTATAGGTAAATTTGTGAGAACCTAACTTTATAAAAACCGTATAAAAGCCTTATAAAAAACTAACAATAATTTTAGCCCTTTCTCTAATGTTGTTGATCTGACTTTGATTTTGTTTTTGTTGAGTTTAGCATATTGATGCAGCGGTCCAGCTATATAAGCAAAGACAAGAAAATCATCCTGATATTTATATCAACAAAGATGTGACATTAGTGGATTCAAAATTCATTGAGGCCATTGATGATTCCTACGATATATTCCTAGACGACAAAGATGGCTTTGACTTTGAAGATGAATGTTTCAGCAAGGTGTTTAAGGAGAAACGCACAAAAGTCATATTTGCACCAATGTGTGTCGAGGAACGGTTGTGGATACCACTGGAGATTAATTTGGCCTCACGATCAATCCATATCTGGGACAATGGATCATCATTTTTCAGTGATAAAAAGAAACAAAAACAGGTCGAAGCGTATGCTAGATCAATGCCATATATTGCACAGAAGAAGTTTCCAATGGTAGAGAGGACTGATGACTCTCCTTTTAATTCCTCTCCATTCCGTGTCATTCACAAATCCTGCTTTACACAGGTAAATATTTGTAATTAGTAAAAGGCTTGCGTGGTTAGATAAGGTATTTAGAAGGTTTTAAAGAGTTTTTATAAGGTTTATCAAGAGTTTATTAGGTTTTAATAAGGTTTTATATGGTTTTTAGAAGCTTTGAGAATGTCTTGGTTTTGAGGTTATATTATATGTAAATACTGTTGACTTTTCAGTTTGTTTTTTGTTTTTAGCTTAAGAAGATTGAAGATAGTGGTGTGTACATGGTAAAGATAATGGAAAGCTATGCAATGTCTAGAAGGACTAATGACGAGTTCCATGAACACAGCATTGCAGATATCCGAAAGAAACTTGCGGTTGACATATTTGCTGAATTAGGAAATTCATAGGTTAGTATGAGTATTTTTTTTTTTTTAATATTGTAGGATTTACAACAGTTTAAAACAGTTTCCTAACGTTATTCACATTACCTTGCGTAGGAATATGGATGACTGCTAAGGAGTATGGAGAATATTATAACACTTGTTTTATTTTACTTTTGGAAACTAGGATATATTTTATTTTACTTTTGGAAACTATGTCGATTTGAAAACACTTGTTGAAAATATTATCTTTTGAATACTTTTATCTTTGTTGAGAATATTATAACACTTCAATCATCTTTTAAAACCATTACAAAAAGTTCTCAGTGGATTTCCAAGAAAAATACAATATAACACTTCAATCATACTCGTGCTATTTCAATACTAAAACTATAATTGCGAGTTACGCGGTTTATAACCTTGTTTTAAATACAAGGGTTCTTACAAAAAGGTTTGTAAAACAATTTTGATTTCATTAATAAAGCTTTACAAGGGTTTTAAACGAATTTGAAATACAAAGGTTTTTATAAGGGTTATAAACTGT